GACTTATCTAAGATCAGACAAGGACCAGATGAGCCTTTTCAGGATTTTGTAGCCCATTTACTACAGACTGCGGGGAGACTGTTAGGGGAAAGTGAAGCAGGACTTTCGTTGGTTAAACAACTCACTTATGAAAATGCTAATTCGACCTGCCAAGCAGCTATCCGTCCTTTTAGAAAGAAAGGTGGCCTGTCCAATTACATTAGATTGTGTACAGATATTGGCCCATCATACCCCCAAGGGCTAGCTATGGCCGCAGCTTTGCAGGATAAAATGATTAAGGAAATCTTGTACCAACAGGTTAAGGGACCTAGGAACAGAGTCAAGAGACCTCCTGGCAGCTGCTATAATTGTGGTCGAATGAGTCACCAGGCAAAACAATATCCAGTTACAAGACAGAAACCCCAGAGAGAGCCAGACTTATGCCCAAATTATAAGAGGGGAAAACACTGGGCTTATCAATGTTGGTCAAAAAGGGACAATTTGGCAAATCTTGTATTACTCCGGTTGGGAAACGGGAAAAGGGGCCAGCCCCAGGCCCCTCAACAATGTTATGGGGCCATTCAGACCCAAACAAAGAATCAAGTCATTCCACCGCAGGTAAATAATTCATACAAGATCTCGTGCGGGCCACCCCAGGTAGTGCAGGATAGGACCTCGGTTCCTCCACCTACACAGTACTGACACCAAAAATGGGAGTTCAGGCCTTACCTATGGGGGTCTATGGCCCTTTACCTCCTGGATCTGTTGGTCTGGTCTTAGGAAGAAGTAGCTCATTAATGTGGGGACTTATTATTGCCCCAGGGGTTGTAGATTCAGATTTTATAGGAGAAATAAAAATTATGACATCATCTCCTTACCAAATTTCAGCCCTTCAATCTGGAACTGCTGGTTTCTCCTCAGAGGTCTTTCTTAATTAAAATTTAGCTTTCCTGCTAAATCTTAAACTCCTGCTAATCTTAAACTGGCTTCAGATAGAGGCCTGAAGACTCTGGGTACCTGTCTCTCTCTCTTTCTCTTATGAAAGAAAGAAAATAATAATCTTAAATTCTAAAAAATTATTTATTTTGGAACTAGCAGTTAGCGTAATGCCTATGTCGCTGGACTCCCATGTAGTCGACCGTGGTTTGAGTCCCAGGCCCAATGGTTTAAACTCACGCCAGGCGTGTGTGCATGCGTGCCCAAGATCCCTAGAGGAGAATGGAGGAGAAAGGATTGCGGCGTAGCCATTCTCCCTGGAGGGGGTGATTTCTCACTTTCTGTCTCTCTGTCTCTGTCTTTCTGGCGCGTGCACGCATCCTATAGGAAAAAAAAACCCAGATATTTTTTTTAATTATTTATTTTAATTTTATTTATTATTTTAAATTTGCTATAGGGCAAATTAAACAAATGGTCAACAGAGAGAGTCAGCGAGAGAGAGGGAAAGTGAGAAAGTAAGCCGCTGGATTCAAGACTCCAACTGTGATTAGCCATGTAGGAGTCCAGCATCACAACCACCATGCTACCTGCTGGTCCCCCTTCACCATTATTTTTTTAGTAAAAAAGAAATATAGGACTTGAAGA